GCCGTGGTGGGTCCTTTCACTCCTGTCTGTCCGAGCCTCTCCTGATTCCCCTTCACCCTGCCCAGATCTCTTTTCTACTCTCCTTTTGCTTCTTCCCTCTTCCTCAGTCTCCAGCCCTTTCCCACTTTTCCTCCTGAACATGTTCACACATCCGTAGCCATCTCACCATCTCTCCTTTTCTTCCCCGCTCCCTTCCATTCTGCCCCTCTGCCTACTGCCCAGCCCCTTCCAACCTCCTCCTTGCCTCTCCCAGCCACAATTTTTTTGGCTTTACTCTTTAAGGCGACTCCTGTTTTTTTTCAGATCTCCAAACTTGGCTTAGTTTCCACAAGTGCTTATAAAGACAAAAAAAAGGACAATGGTCCAAACCAAACCTGAGGTTCATGGCACACAGAAGTCCTAGAGTTTTTTCATCAAAAAAAAGCTGGAATAAATTTTTCAACATGGAAAATGCTACTTATTTTTTTTCTTTACGCTCAGTCTCAGGAAGAGTGGAATAGTTTTTTCTTGAAACTTTCCTCAAAAAGACAGAAAAAAGGAAAAAAGAAATAACCCGAGGCAGACATGCAGCATGGAAAATGTTAGTCTAAGTTGTTAACATATAGACAGACTTTGAGCAACTGAAGACAGGGCTTTAACGGAAATCATCATGCAACCTTATCTACAGGTGCTGCTACCTGCTGTGCCTCTAATTACACCTTTTAGCAATCCTCACCATTGCTCAACAGGGAGAAAAAAGGCAAGGAAAGAGTTTCTAATGGTATTTTAATGCTCTGGAATACTTTAATGTATAATAATGTCTAGTGGTCACCACCTACTCCATACAGAAGAAAATGTCCAAGTGCTTTATAAGGCTTTGGATGAGAAGACAACTGTGGTGACAGAATCACACAGAATCAGAGAATGACAGCGGTTGGAAAGGTCCTCTGGAGATCATCTAGGCCAACCTCCCTGCTAGAGCAGGGTCCCCTACAGCAGGTTGCACAGGACGTGGTCCAGGTGGGTTTTGAACATCTCCAATGTGGGAGACTCCACCATCTCTCTGGGCAGCCTGTTCCAGTGCTCTGCCACCCTCAAAGTAAAGAAGTTCCTCCTCACGTTTAGATGGAACTTCCTATACTCAAGTTTGTGCCCATTACTGCTTGTCCTATCACTGGACACCACTGAAAAAAGACTGGTACCATCCTCCTGGCACCCTCTCTTCTAAGTATTTATAAGCATTGATAAGATCCCCCCTCAGCCTTCTTTTCTCCAGACTAAAAAGACCCAAGTCCCTCAGTGGTGACTGCTGAAGGAAGTGAACTTCGCCTCTTTGCCATGTTGTAGAGGGTGGCAAAGGGTGCAGCCCGGACCCATGGTTCCCACAGGGACTTGTGCCTGGTTCCTATCCTCTCTGTGCCCCAACAGCCCTAACACATTACTATGCTTTGAGCACATGAAATAACGCGAGGATTAGGTTGTAGGGGGCAACTCGCAGAGCTGGGCTGGTGATGCAGGGGCAGCACACACAGACCCTCAATTTGGGGGTTCCCCTGGGGTACCTCCTCCCCAGCAGCCAAACTAAGAGGTTTTTATCCTGCGGAAAGCATCAGTCTGACAGAAGGGTGCTTTTGTAGCGTGATAGCCTCGGCTCCTGTTGTCCCCCTTGGGGTGTAGCACATTGCACAGGACCTCACGGGATGCTGCCAGCAGCTCATACACACAAGAGCTTATTCTCTGCAAACCCATGTGGTTTTCAAAGCTGCAGAAAGGGTTTGATTTAATGGGAAACCTTGCATGTGAAAAATAGGAGAGATGAGGCAGGACGGAGAACAGAAACGAGCAGCACATGGGGAGGCAGAAAAGGAGATCTGAGACTCCTGAAGGAAGGTGTGACGGAGAATGCCAGGATGAGTGACACCACCAAGAAGAATGCACAGCAGCAGAGGAGGAGATAACAGTATGGGTTAGGAATATTAACATACACGGAAGGAGAGATGAAGCAGAGCTGCTGAAACTGGCACTCAAAGAATAGTCAGCAAGATGGGAAGGACTAGAAAAAAATGGAAAAATAGAAAAAGACAGGGAAACAGAAGAGATGGTAGCGATTTCTTGTGCTGGAGGAAAGAGATAATTCAAACAGAACATGAAGAAAGATGTATTTGCTTGAACTGCCTAGAAAAGGAGCTGCCAGGAGGACAGTTTTGTCCGAGAGAGGAAGGTGGACTGGGAAGCATCATGGGAAGCAGAAAGCCACCCAAGCAAAATACCTGGAGGCAGGATGGCAGTGGTCTGAGAAAGTTTTGCATTAAAATTAAAAATCAAATGGTTCTAGTCAAAGCTGGAAGGAAGAAGAAAATTTAGCATGAGGAAAATAAAACTGGAAATAACAAGGAAAAAAACCCTTTCTCTACATCCTGTTTCTTGCATTTTTCCCCTAAGTACCTGTATTTAGGAAAGCAGGAGAAGTCCGAACTTAAGTCTAATGCAATTTTCATAACTTTAGCTTTGAATGAATCTCTGTTCAGGAAAGTGCCTAAGTCTCATTCTAGTGAAAAGAACTTGGACACAGGCTAAAATATAACATAACTTTCGCTGCTTCCCAACCACACCCCTGGATCATCAACATGGTCTCCGATTTAGCCCCAAAGCAGCAATAACACAGAGATTATGGGACAAATGCTGCCGGTGCTACCTGTGGATCAACTGTTTCAGCATGTGTATATTTTTTGTTTCTGATAATGATCAACGTTCATGTAAAAGGTGAAAGTAGTGACTCTAGATGATTCTGAAACTGCATTTCTCCTTCAGCTCGTAGAGGATTAGCAACCAATTCAATCTGACAGCAATGTCCTGTTGGCATCTGCATACACTTATTTCTTGTTTTCAGCATGAAAGCTGACCACTGAAGGAAAGTTAGTCTACGCACATACGAAATATATTTAATCAGTTAATTTATGCAACATCATTGCACTTTATTATTTATATTGTTTTACATTAAAGAAAGAAAAACACATCCCAGCGAAAGCTGACAAAAGATCACTACCTGGAGTGGACTGTCGCCCTTTATTCTTCTATTGTATTTATTGAAATTAACCTGAACATTTATAATCAAAAGAATTAGTGATAGCAAAATGGGTAAAACTGATGAGAAAAAACCTCAAAAACATTAATGCCTAATCCCTTCTTTTTCTTTAGCTGCACAGTAATATGTGCTGCAGGGCTGGTTAATGATCTCTGCCAATAGTAGCACAAAGGCGATATTGTCAGGGCAGCTCAGGAGGCCTGGAGCTCGTGGGCTGAAATCCCTATGGCACATTAAAATCTGGAATTTTGTTGATGCAACTGGGGTAACCAAATTCCAGTTTTACAAGATCAGGAGGTGCTTCCTATAGAGAAGACTACTACCAGAGCCAACTAGCACCTTTGAAAAGAAAACAAACGGGAAAAATTCTGGATGAGCTGAAGGTCAGGTGCAGCTCAAAGCTCCAAAACCAAAACACAGACTAAAACTTCCTTCCCGCCACCACCCACCTCCCCCAACATGGCAAAAAGTTCTGCTTTCATTCATCATTTCTTGACACAACAGCACAAAGTCCTAAAATTACGTCACCGTATGAAGTGCAATAAAACTTCTTAAACTGTCATTTTGAGGATTAAAACAAAAGCCAGATCAGCTGTGAGCTCGCTTCCTATGTCCAAGCCTGTTGAGAGGGCACAGTCTACACTTGGGTACTGAGGGCATGGGAGGAGAACCAAAGATTTATGGACAACAGGATGCTACTAAACATCAGAATGACCCATCACTGTAGTCCTGTACAATAATACACAGTCGCCAGTATATCAAGAACAGACAGGAGAGCTGAAGAAAAAAGGTCTTGTAGTTGTAGAGACCCGTTCATTACGCAATTAGGTATGTAAGAGATGTTACAAGACGTATTACTAAAAGCCCTGTAGTCTCATAAACCCAACAGTAAGGTTATCTGTCAGTACCCTCCCTTTCCGCCTCAAGCAATACCTCATTTCAGGGGAGAATTAGCCATATTTTATTCACTCACACGCGATGAACCTTGAAATGAGTCTCTCTCATTCCTTTCCTCATGTTCCCATCTCCGTCACTAATGCCTTCTTTATAGAGCTATGCTTTTCCAAGTATCTGGGCACATCTGGTTTCTCTTTTCTTCCTCCACCCATCATGTCAGCATCTTTAACAAGATTTTGCTCCCTCAGTAACTGTTATGTTCTCATTTCTTCTTGCTCTCCAGCTCCCCTTTCTGTGTTCTTTGGAAACCCCTCCAAGAATGTATCTGTCCTTTTGGCGTGTGCTTTCTTCCTCCCTTCACACCTCCATGTGCCTCTCAGGTCCCGTGTCTGCAAAATTAATTCCCAACATATACACTCCATGTGGCTTCCTTCCTTCCTTTCTGCTGTTTAATCTGGATGAAGAAACCTAATTCAAAGTATTGCACTGTATAAAGAAGAAACCTAATTCAAAGTATTGCACAAAGTATATCCACTCCTCGAGCTTAATGAAACCCACCCCTCTGCATCTGCTACCACTCCTTGGTCCAAAAGTCTTTCCTTTGCATGTTCCTACAGCCCAACGATTGCCTTCTCCTTGTATAGAAACAGTCTGTCTGACATTCATTCTCTTGCCAAATCTGTCTCACCTGGTGAGTTTTTCATGTTTGTCTACGATGTTCTATATATTGTCATTATTCCGTTGACTTATTTCTTCCGCTTCTGAGGAGGATTTTTTCCTCTCAGGACAAAGCTTGCCATGAGTTGTCTGAGCATTTAACACCACTGATAACCTCCATCTTTATAAAAATATTTATCTATTTGAAAGAACAGCTGGGATAAGACTTTTCAAGGTTCCTCCCAATAGTGTAAGTTAATTGCCTCTTCAGCAAACGACCCTGTAAGTTTGTAAACTAACAGCTTTACAACGTTGTTACATTTTCCTCATAAAAGAACAGTTTTAGAGATGCCACAGATGCACAAAACTGGTTCCACCTTACCTTTGACATGGCTTCTCCCATCCTCCAATAGTGGTACTACTATAGTGTTGTTCATATTCCCAGGTGATCTCACAGCTGTATAGACAACAGGTACCGACTGTACCACCACGGGGATACGGTGCACGTGACTCATTTTGTTGGACTGCAAGTTCATGGGGCTTGAAGGTGGTACTGGATGGATAATGTGCAAAAACTGCTGGCCTCCAACACCAGACGCAGAGGCCACAAGAGGACCTGGAGTTAATACTGATGGTACAGATGCTGCTGAAGATACTGATGTTATTACTGTGGGTGATGAAGCTGGCCGACTAGAAGAGGAAGAAGTAGAAGTAGAAGAAGGGGAGGAGGCTGATGCTGTCATGGAAACTGGTGAAGATGAAGCTGCTGTAGGGGATGACCTGGCTTTGTTTATTGACAAGTCCACTGGTTCAGTCTGTGTTTGGAAATGGTCTGTAGATAATGAATCTTCCACGGGGTCTGCCTTCATGTTGTTTAGTAACAAGGGTACAGCTTCCATATCTGGGTAGTTGTGGACGTTTGGAGACTGTTGAGGAAGGACAAAGGAACATAGTTATATATGTGGCAAAAGATGACTTGAAAACCCAATTGCTAACACACATCACAACTTGGTCATGAAAGCCATGGGATTTGTCTCCTTTGCTTGTGTCAGCTTATAATTTTAAAGGACAAATCATGCTAGAAAGCACGGACACGTTCCGTTTGAACAGAATATTTAAAAAAAGGCTCTACTCCCAGTTCTTAGAAGGTGGCAGGATTAACTGTACAAAATCACGCTCTTTCTTTGCACTACGCAAAGTCATCAGTGACAAAAATTTTAATATCTCCACAGGTAGCCACTATTTATATTCACAGGACATTTCTCCCAACATCTCACTTTAAGCTACAGTTACTCCCTCGTGTCACCTCCAACGGACATGAAGAAAAACTGGTCACTACCATTTTTCAAACTTTCTGCATGGTTGAATGGTAATTTCCCCCTACTTGTCTATCTTTTTCTAGACTAGGCAGACCTTGCTGCTTCTTTCTGTCATAACTCACCTTTAAAAGAACAACCCTCAGCACTCGTTTGCTCTTTGCAGCGATCTTTGTAGTTTTGTCCGCATCACTTTTCACAAGGCAGTGCCTTACACTAAACACAGTCCTTCAGTTCAATGTCTGACTTTTTGCATTCTGCATGGTTACTCATAACAACGTTACAGGTCAGCACAGAGCACCACGTTCGTATGGCTGTCCTGTTACAGGCAGCAACGCCTACAGCAATTCATTATTCTGATTTAGCACATTAGATGGCCTTCCCCATTGTTACAATTGTTTGGGTTTTTTAATATTTCCATACAAATTGAGAACAACTTTCCTGACTTTGCAGAATAATCTTCTGCTTCAGACCAACTCTTTCAAAGCTGGTTGGTCTAAACTTATTCTAGACTGATGCCATCTGCTATTTTTATAGTTTTATTCCTTATTTCCATCATCAAAGAGGTTAATAGAATTTTTGAATAATGCTAGGCCAAAGATAGATCCCTGGAGAAGCTGATTTGATATATCTTTCCTTTTGACAGTACATCATTAATAACTACTCTTTAAAAATGTTTTTTCAAGTAATTTTCAATAGGCAGAGCAAGGAAGGAAATGCCCATCGATAACCTGGTAGTAAGACAAAGTGCAGCTCTCAGCTCCTCAGCTGAGTACCTCCATGACACTGCGCTGCAGCAGAGCTTCTCTACAGGCACACATGTGCCGTTATGTGCTGTAGTATGGAAAACCAACCTCGATAAAAAACATTTGCCAAGCTGCTTCAAGCCTCACTTGACCCAAAGCAGTAATTCCATACACAGATCTAACAAGCAATCTTTTTGTGGTACCTAAGCAGCTCTAAATGCATTCTCTCAACTCCACATTATATTATTTACCAAGTATCTAAAAATATTAAGTCAGAAAGCCACAAATATTGCCGTTTGTCTACTCTAAATAAGCTAACAATCAAGCAAGCTCTGAATTCACTTTGCGATTTTTATAATTATGTTAAATATTTTCATGGAGAACCCTCCTGGTTTTGAGTCACAGCCAAATTTCATCACAGAATGGAGCTCTATTGCAAAAGGAAAATAGAAACACTAATATTAAAAATTGTAATAATAACAGCCTAAGTGGGTATTATCCCTGGAACGCTGAAAGATGAGATGTTCTAGTAGATTGCATCTATTCAGCTGACTTAGACTGGTTCCTGGATCTGAAATTTTCCTCCATTTGAAAGCAAGAACATCTCTGGAACACTAAGTCTCTTCCTCTATTCATGCACAAATCAACTTAAAACAAAGGGACCCCAATTCATCCGGTCTCTGGACCCTGCTCTTCTGCTGTAATACAAATAACAAAAGCAAAAAATCCCTTTATAAAGACCATGGGAAGTTCTTCTGCTAGAAAAGAACACGGAGTGAAGAACAGATCACTTTTCAAAGCTCATAACCAGCTACGAGTGACAAGGTTATGAAATTTCTTCCTCTAGAAGGCAAAACCGCCCGTAATGGCCCAGTGACGATTCCCAGTAACTTCCTCTGAAAGACCTTATCCAGGCTACTGTCACTAATGAGATTCTGCATTAAGCATACCATATGTGCCACGATAAAGACAAAACTATAAATATACATGGCACAAGTAGTTAATTTGTCCAATCTTGACAAGTCTTATACATGCAATGGGCAAACAGACTGGTTCTGCTGAACTAAACAGATTGGTGGTAGAATGAAGGCAAGGTGGACACCTGCACAGGCTATACCCAAATCTTCATAAGGCCAAAGGCATCATCTTCTATCTTAAATGTTTGAGAGAAGGGGGATAAATGGGATCAACTCACGTACAAGGGAGGTGAGGGATCCCCTTGTGCACACGGCTGGGCAAGAGGCATCTAGAAGCAACACCAGTCGCCAGCTCCATCCACAGGGCAGATACATGTGCCATAGAGGAAATCCTGACTGTTGATGTACCTCCAGGCTTCCGCTGGGGGCCAGAGGCTGATTTCATATCGACCCAATGCCTCCTGCTTCAGCAGCACAGCTTGTTACTCTGTGAACTGAAGGATGGACTACCCTACTGCTGTCTTCCATTGCTCTTCAGAGCACCCCGAAGTGCTCCGAGGGCTCCAGGGACTTGATGTACCAGCGTATGCATGTCAGTCTGCTCCCAGGCATCTTCTGACTTCTACAATACTTCCAAGACTGGACACAAGGAATCCACACGGACCTCGAAAGCAGTCCATCACCAAACTGAGAGCAATCTGCCCCAAAGTCCCACCTGCCTTTGCAGCAAGTAGCATCAGGTCCCTTACAGGAAGAGTGAGGAAGAACCCCAAACCCTCATGTATCTGATGTCACACAAAGTACTTGTTCCATGGATAGAGTCAATTGCCTTTGAGACAAAGCACAGGCCATGACTTACAGATTTTTCTAAATTGTGCAAAGAACAGGCCATTGTTTTACTGTAGTAATTACACCTAGTCTTTTGGGAATTAAAAAAAAAAAAAAGGGAAGACGAATCATGTAACTGCAGTCTACCATACAAATCACTTTCTCTTTTAATAGCTCTTCTGCATTTACTTTTGCACTGTACATTCCTTATATTTCATCTACCTTTCAGTAGGTACCTCCTTCTTGTCCAGAGCTGCTGGAAGGGCCATACTTTTGCACTGTACATTCCTTATATTGCATCTACCTTTCGGTAGGTACCTCCTTGTCCAGAGCTGCTGGAGGGGCCGTGTGGTCTCTATGTACTATGGTAATACAGCTGATATTACTATTTCAGTCTTCAGTAGTGAAACTAAACTTGAAACCTTTAAAATCCCTTCATTAATTTCTCTAAACAGGACGAAAACTGGTATGCCCTTCCATGACCTCCTTTCCCTGCCAAAACTCTAAGACTAAGAATGCCATTTCTTTGGTAAATTCAGGCCGTGACTGATGTCAGTCGACATTACAAAAGACAGCAGGATCCTTATCAAAACAGCTTTGTACATCCTGTACTTAAGATAAAAATTGTAAACAAGTGTTATATTTTGTTCTGGTGCTGTGAAAAGAGATCTACCCCAACAACTCACGCTCCCCTACAGCGACCTACAAGGGGCATAGATGTTTCTCCAAGATCCCAGATTTTATCTAAGCTGCCAAAGTTTTATTTAAACTGTATTTGAATCAAAACTTTGAACATCAAATTATCATTATTTTCTGAAAAGGGATGGTATAAGCAAAACTTTCCTAATGATGATGACTATTCCAAAATTAGGAACTTACATGACGAAGAGTAGCCAAAAAGGATGGCTGAATTCTCAGCACACTATTTCTTAGCATCTCCCCAGAACGTTATTAATCGAGAATTAACTGTTCATTTCCCTAGACGATGAGCAATGCCATTAGTTTTATTTAACAGAACTACATCTTTTCTAATTGAGAAGATCACAGTGCTATGGTTGGGATATTCAGAGGCATACCCTCAGCCATTCTGTCAGGTCATAAAGTCAACTGGATGAAAAACAAATGGTTGCGTGTTTTTTCTCCTGTCTCTCTATTCCTGCATTTCCATCCTTATCTAGTGAACTGGGCTTCTTGTGGTGGTGTGGGCTCAGCTGACTGCTAGGTTGAGTGTCTGAAATAGGTTTTCCCCGTCTGGCTCCCAAAAGTGTCTGTGTTGGTTCTGCAAACTTTGTTTTGGTTTTAGGGGTCTAAGCTCTGTTGTTGAGAGTTTGGCAGCTTCCAGGGCGTTTGGTGGGTTAGAAAGAGTTCAGCCTGAGGTCCCTGTAACCCAGTGGGCTGCCCTGGACACCAGCCCAGACGATGGAAATACAACATGAAGGGGTACAGCTCCACATGGCTTCCCTCATGTCACTGCTCGGGCCCACTGGTACAAAGGAGAGGGACAGCTTCAGCCCTGCCTCCGGTTGGAACTCGGAGGCAAATCTCAGCGATGCCTCTCTCTGCAACACTGCCGTCACATCCTTAATGCTGTTCACCATCCACACAAACCCAGGCTGAAACAGAACTGGAAGGCAGGTTAGGATGGCTCCCTGCTAGAAAAGGCTTTTTAATAAAGCCACAGCCTCTACCAGTCAGTGCTCTTGGCTCACGGTTTTTGTGCCTGCCCGTTAAAGCTGTACACCAGTATTCTCTGCAGTGCGCTGTTTCACTAGCTTGCCATTAATAAACACCGCCAGGAACATAACACGTGATTTCCCTATTCACAAAGCTTTTTTTTGGCTGTGTAAAAAAAAGCATTCCTTACTGCCCGTTTCCCCGACCATTATGGAAAAACAACCAGCCAGCCATACAACCAGCCAGCAGCCCCTGAGAGAAGCATAGTGAAGTTATGGCTGATATTATCTGCTCGATGGCCGTCCTTTGCTGCATAGTTCTGCTTCTTTCCAGCCCCCCAAACTCCACTTCCTAACCTACTTTGGGGTAAATTTTGCAACAGCCCCTTTCATCACTCTTATTCTACACATGGCAATCTTCTCTGCATACCAGCATTGCCTTCCAT